TGGGCAGGGCTGGGCTGAAGTGGGATCTGGGTGGGCCGTGCAGGACCGGCCCCTCTGTGGGCTGCTGGCGGTGACTGCCTGTTAGACGTCAGTACTTCCCAAAGGGGTCCTCATGCCTTTGGGGTTCGGGGACACCTTCCCAGGGAGGCATGGACACAGAGAGGTGTTTCGGTTTTTGGTTCGAGCCGGGGTCTCACGCTGTAGCCCAGGCTGGAGTGCAGTGGCACGATCACAGCTCACCTCCGCCTCTACCTCCTGGGCTCAGGCGATCCTCCTGCTTTAGCCTCCCCAGTAACTGGGACTACAGGGACCCAGTGCCACACCCAGCTCATAATTTTTTGATTATTTTTGTGGAGACGAGGTCTCCCTGTGTTGCCCAGGCTGGCCTTGAATTCTTGGGCTCAAGCCATCCTCCCACTTCAGCCTCCCAAAGAGCTGGGATTAGAGGCTTGAGCCACTACACCGGCTAAGAGAGATATTAGTTATTATTATGGTACTATATATATAGTGTTTGCCATTTTAACCATTTCAGTGTGCAACCCAGTGCTGTGCAGCCTCACCTCTGTTTAGTTCCAGAACTTTGTCATCACCCCAGACAGAAACCCTGTACCAGTCAGTACACAGGGACTCACCATTGCCACTCCCTCAGCCCCTAGTAGCCTCTGCTCTACTTTCTGCCTCTTCTAGACATTGCAGTAAGTGGAATCCTATAACGTGTGTGCTTTTGTGTCTGGGTCCTTTCATTCAGCATAACGTTGCAGCCTGTCTCAGGACTTTACTCCCTTTTAGGGCTGAGTAACATTCCCAAGCATAGAGATTTTTTTGTTTCTTTTTAGAGAGAGGCTCGTTCTGTCTCCCAGACTGAAGCACAGTGGCACAATCACGGTTCACTGCTGCTTCTACCTCCTGGGTTCAGGTGATCCTCTTACCTCAGCCTCCAGAGTAGCTGGGACTATAGGCCTATACCGCCACGCTGGCCAATTTCAAAAATATTTTTTGTGGAGATGAGGTCTCACTATGCTGCCCAGTTTGTCTCAAACTCCTGGGCTCAAGTGATCCTTCCGCCCCAGCCTCCCAAAGTGCTGGGGTTATAGGTGTGAGTCATTGCACCTGGCCGGTTTTGCTCAATTATGTGTTAATAATAATTGTAACAATAATTCAATCCTGAAGAACTTTTTTTTAACACTGAGAGATTTAGGATTACAGGAAATAAAGCCAATCTACTTTCAAGGTGGGTTGCTTCAACCTTGAGGAATCTTTTCAGGGAAGTATGTGTATTTTTTTTAAATTATAAAGATGTGGGGTACAATTCAAGGTTAGGTATACAAACGTTGATTATGCAGGTACCCTTAAGTACGTGTATTTAAAGCAATGGACCCAGCTGCCAATCTGAAAAAAGTACACTGCATGCTGTGTACACTGGGTGATGTATTATACTGTGTTTTTTTAAACTAACAATTGCATGTATAGCTTTAAATTTAGATACTTCCCCCAAAAACATATTGAGCATATTATTTGAAACTGTAACTAACATACTGTTGCAAAAGCAGTGAGTCCTGGGTTTCCCAACTTTGCAAACACACTGCATAAATGTATTTTGGTTATATAAATATATGATAGGATAGGCAAAAAAAAAAAAGGCTTTCTGTATCTAATGTTAGGAGAAAATTCTGTGGGGGACGTAGATGGAAATAAGACTCGAAATTCCCAACTGCTAAAAGTGAGTTCCAGGAACTATTTAAAAAGTGAATATTGGCTAGTTGCAGTGGCTCACGCTTATAATCCCAGCACTTTGGGAGACTGAGGCAGGTGGATCACTTGAGCCCGAGAGTTTGAGACCAGCCTGGGCAGCATAGTGAGACCCCTGTCTCTACGAAAAATCAAAAAAGTTAGCCAGGCGTGGTGGTACATGCCTGTAATCCCAGCTACTCAGGAGGCTGAGACGGAAGGATCACCTGAGCCCAGGAGGTTGAGGCTGGGGTGAGCCATGATCATGCCACTGTGCTCCAGCCTGGGTGACAGAGTGAGACTCTGACTCAAATAAATAAATAAAAATGGCTAAGATGGTGAATTTTATCTTATGTGTATTTTACCACAATATTTTTTTTACTTGGAATCTCACTCTGTCACCCTGGCTGAAGTGCAGTGGCATGCTCACGGCCACCGCATTCTTAATCTGCAGGACTCAGGTGATCCTTCCACCTTAGCCTTCCAGGTAGCTAGAACTGCGGACATGCCACCACACCCATCTAATTGCCTGGACTCAGGCAATTCTCTCACCTTCACCTCCCAAAAGTGCTGGGTTGAAAGGCATGAGCCACCGCACCCAGCGTACCACAATTTTGAAAAATAAAATAAGTTGGTAAGTTTCAAGCCACTGTGGTAGTTAAAATACATTAGATCTAAAATTGTGGTGTGATGGTTTTATTTTTCAAATGTCAATATTTTTGAGACACTGGGAATGATATAACCTTGGTTACTTTTTTTTTTTGAGTGGGAATCTCACTCTGTTGCCTAGGCTTGAGTATTGGCACGCTCACAGCCACCCAGTGTCGACCTGCTGGGCTCTGGCGATCCTTCTGCCTCAGCCTTCCAAGTAGC